TGCCTGGTTGGAACATGCTTTCATATTCCCTGTCCTTTGCAAAAACTCTGGGTTGTTTTTATTTTATGACAAGTATCACAAGATCTGAAGGTGGCAGAAGGTTAGTGATTGACACACTAAAGACCAGAGCGATCGATAAACCGACCTATAGGTGGAAGGGAACATTTGAATATGAAACTGAGACAAAAAGTAATGGGAGTGAAAACCTGAAATAATTCTGAATAATTAAAAAAAAAAAGTTCAGAATAAGCAAACTCTGTTGCTGTCAAAGGCTCTTTTTTCTTTCTCTCCCCCTCTCTCTTTCTCCCCTCCCTCCCTCCTCTTTCCTTCTCCTTCTTCTTCTTCTTTTTAAAGCATTTTATGTGGTAATTAAGAATTTGGTGAGAGCCCGGTCAGGTCACCTCGTTTCTCAGATCAGAGCCCCATCAGAAATTCTTTCAAGTGTCCTTCTGCGTCGCCAAAGATGACAACAGCAAATCAATAAGTGCTTGAAATGAAAGGGGATGTTGGCTAGCCCCCGAGGCTACAGATTTTCACACCGCCAGCCTTTTTCTGAACTTCTAGCATTCCTTTGCACTGCCTCTCAATAAGAAGAGATACCTTTTATTCCTATTCTCATGACGAAGGTAAGTGCTCAGTTAGCATACCTATTACATTATGGGCTGCACATGCTTTTACTCTGCTTCCCTCTGGGGCTGGCTGGGGCTTGGGCTTTCTGTCTGGAAGGTAAAAGTACAACGCAGCCTCTGCTCAGGGCATCTTGGTTAAAGAGCAGCTGCTGCATGTACTTTCTCCATTGAAAACTACAGCTCGATCGCCCTAGATAGCAGAGATGCTAGAACAAACTGGGCAATATTTGCATTTCCTCTCCTTTTCTCCTTCTCCTCCTCCTTTTTTTTTTAAGAATTAATAGAAGAGGGGTAAGGGATCAAAGCATGGAAAAATAAATACAGGCATCATTGTGTGAAGCGTAGATTACTTTGTGTTAACAGAGATTGCTCTGCTCCAGTTCACACTGTCCTACTTACCCCTAATGTGCCCTGATTTAACAATCTTTCTAACGACCAACATCCTCAGGACGTTTTAATTAGGTAATTCATTAGTGAGTCAATACAGACATTTATATATTCTTTTAGCTCAAGTGGTTAAGCACTAATTTCGAAATGATTATAAACCACTGGAATATGCGAGGCATAGTAATTTTAATTTATATGCAAATCAATGGGGCCATTTGAAATGCCTAATTTTTTAACAGTTATTGTATTGTAGCGTCGGGATCAACCGCCTGAATGAGCAATTTTTGAGACAAGGTTTGGACAGGAAAGAAAATTCCGAGCAGCCAACAAATCAATAATGTTTGAGGGTGTTAAACATAGCTTGCCATAGGTATTTACATACTCGCTTGTTGTCAGATAAGGAGCTGCTGGTGGGGAGAGAAGGGAGGTGGAGGGGATTGCTTGCAATGGTTGAGATCATAATCCAGGAGTGAAGTAAATGGGAGTGAATTGCCCCATCCAACACTTTCTAAGATAGCAACAGCTGTACCGCTCTCGAGTCCCACAGTGGTGGAGGCTCAACACTTGCCTTGTGCCTGGGTCCCTGCTTGATCCTGGCTCGTTTTGGGCTAAGGGCGAGGGTCTGTTAGCTTGACAGTAAAGCAAAGCATCTTAATTCCTGTGTTGGTTTGTCCAGGACCGGCTTTGAGAATTAAAAGAATACCAGGCGACACCCCTTAAACCTTTTTGGCCATCCTGCACTCACGCCTGGCTTTTATGCCATGTGACTGGAGTCCAGGGAGACCATTGATACTCATAAAGCAGCTTTCCAGCATGTTGCAAGATGAAGAACTTTTAGACCCATTTTCAAATCATGTCCCGGGGAGGCGCTGGGGAAGGGATCCAAGCATGGAAAAATCGGGGGCAAAGCAAGGGAAGCTCTATGGGGCCGGAACTGCGGAGGCATCCGAGCCAATGCTGTTTCTATAAAACCGTGCCAATTTTGCAATTCAGAACTGGGCAGCTCAGGTCGGATCCCTGCTCCAAAACTCAAGGATTCAGACCTGCTGCAGCTGGCGATGAAATGCTGGCTATGTTCACCGGTGGCTCCAACTTGTTGTTATTGTCTGGGGTGGTGGGGAGGGAGAGAGAGGAATAAAAATACAATCAGCCCGGCCTTTCCCTAGCCTTCGATTCTATTATTACATTTCTTGCTTTGACAGAGGGGAGGGGGGCGGAAAAATGAAATCCATGTATTAAGTCAGCTCCACAGTTTCCAGACACCCTAGAACCCGTATTCCACAGCAGCATGTCTAATGTATTCCCTGGTGATTCTGGGCATTAATTAGTTGTTTAATAGGAGTATGACTAAAAATGTAAAAGAAGGATTAGGAGCGTGAAACGTATGTCCAGCTCCTTCCACACACTCGAGGAGGGAATGAAAATCACCCTGTATCTTATGTTTCTCTAGGAGCCATTTGCATTTCCCACCAGCTGCTCACTTCAGCTGCACCGATTCCGGGGCAGTGGAAGTGCCCAGCTCAAGTCGGGAGCCTGCTGCAGCCCCGTCCTGGGGGCAGCAACTCTGCCAGGCAGGCAGGGGCCAGCCTCAGCTCCAAACCTCTGCAGCAGGGGAGGGAGGGAGGGAGGCTTGCACACGTGTGTGTCCCCTTCTTCAGCCGGCTTCAAAGCACAGCCAGTCCCAACACCGAGTATTGTTAGCTGTTGTGATCTACCAGCACACACACCAACTCAGGGCACACGGACACCACTTTGTTTCCCCGGACAAAAATGGGGGTAGGCTGAAGGTGGCTGAGGAGCAAGTATTTTGCGAAAAGGTAACGTTGCAGTCAGTCAGGCGGATTTGCTTCTCTTCTGTTTCTTGTCGCAGCTCGGTTGAGAAAATTGAATTCACTTGGCCCGCCAGTTGCAAGGACAGAAATGCAGTGTGCCCGGAGCAGATTTGATCTGATGCGATTTTATTTTATAGAACTCACGTGCACCTATTTTAAGTCCTCTCCAAGAAATTGTTTGCGCTGCTTTTTTTTTCCAGTGGATGCTACTGGTTGTTTAAATGCATTGTCTGCCCGTGGAAGAAATTCTTGAGCCTGTTGGAAATTAGCTCCGTGCCTTTAGAAACCGAGAGGACAACGCGTTCAGTAAAACGACTCTCTCAGCCCTTAGTCATTGCACAAAATTTGTTTCCGCCCTAAGACACTAGGCAGAGGGCTCGGACGCGGTTATTCCTAACTAAATCTCATTGCGAATGGGAAATCGCTCGAATAAGCGCACACACACACACACACACACACACACACACACACACACACACACACACACACACACACACACACACACACACGGTTATGAGCATCACTAAGACAAGCACTTTTTTTTTTAAACATGGTGCAACCATAAAAGCAAACCATTAAAAAACCCAAAACAATTGCAGGCAGAAAACAAATAATCTCAGTTGGGTTTTAACATGTATATGTATACACACACGCACGCACAAACACGCACATATATATTTATTTAAAAAGGAGAGAAAATGCAACTAAATCGAACATCAATTGATAGTGGCATAAAGGCGGTTAAAATGTGACGAATATTGTATTACATCCTTAAAACGATATTGTGTGAATAACAAATATCAGTGGGAGAACTCAAATGAGGTCAATTCATTTTCCACAGTTATATAATATAGGTGGGATAGATAGATAGATAGATAGATATCCATTATATATAATTCATTATATATAATAATCAATATGTTTTAACTATATATAATGAATATACAAAGAAATCCATGAGGTATCAATATAATGAATATATATAAAATATCATATAGATAGATAGGTAGATATTATATATAATGAATATACAATGGAATCAATGAGGTATCCATATATATAATGAATATATATATATATATATGGATAGATATAGATATATCATAAATATATCGTATAGATAGCTGTTATATATAATGAATATACAAAGAAATCCATGAGATAGATAGATAGATAGATAGATAGATAATGTAGCACATAATATATAAATAGGTACATGGCCAAGAAAAATAGGTATTGCAACCATATCACACAATAGGTTTGCAACCCCTTTCCCCACCTGGTAATGAATCCCCTAAATTGTATAGCCCTGATCCCTAGCGTAGCTACGGAAATAAACTGTGATAAAGTTGCCAGCCAGCCGTGCTTGTTCACCGTGCCAGCCCGGGTTGTGTATTGAACCGGGCAGGCACAAGCCCGAGCCTCTCAAGTCCCCACAGGAGCAGGGAGCACGGGGAAATGTTGAACACGCACAGACCTGCGGGGCAGCGCCGTTCGTGCGGGGACCTTCACCTCGTCCTTTTAAAAAAGGTCTCGGTGACCCCGCGTGAACCCGGCGGTGCCAGTGCAGCCAAGGCAGTCCTAGCCTGAAATGAGCGGCGGAGCCGCAGGGCGATCCCGGCGCTGGCCAGTGCCGCCCTCCCCGCTGCAACGGGCCGTGTGTTTGCTCCTCTAGCCCGGCTTGCCTTTGAACTCGTGGGACAGTCCCGGGCCCCCTGCCTTGGCTCTGTTCTTCTTCCCCCCTCCTTTTCCTTCTGGCTCTAGCTGTTCGTCTTGCTCTTTCTTCTTTCCCCTCTTTTTGTTGTTGTTGTTGTTGTCCTTTCCTTTCTTCCTCCCATGCCCTTTCTCTTCTCCCCCTTCCCTCCGGATCCCCACCCCCTCGCCCCTCTCCCGCCTGGCACAGAGCAGGGATGTCCTGCAGAGCCTGCACTTTCGCTCGTCCTTCGCCTGCCTCCTGCCTCCAGCCTCACTCCCTCTCCTCTCCCTTCTTCCTGCTTCTCTTGGCTCCGTGTCCCTCTGCCCGGCTGTTTCCCTCCTGACTGCATTGTACCCCCCCTTCTCTGTCCCACCACCCCAGATCCCCCCTGCCCCTCTCTGCTGACGTCACGTCGCTCCCAATACAGAGAGGGAGAGGGAGAGAGAGGGAGCCGGAGAGTAAGAGGGAGCCGGACACGGGAAGATCTCGGATCCCCCAGCCCATACACAGCCCTCCCCCCCGCCGGAGCCGCGCACTCCCCTTTGGATCCTTTATTCCTCCTGCCGCCGGGTTTCTGCAGCTCCGCGCAGCCCGGCCCCGCGGATTTGCTCCTTCTCGGGGAGGAGAGGGAAGAATAACGGGGTGGAAAGCTCAACTGGGAGCAGGTAAGTGGAGGCCCATCCTTCCCCGGGGTGTGAGATAATGCGAGTCTGGGAATTGGTTCCACCCGGGGGGGATCTGCCTCCCCCACCCCCACCCCCACCCCACCCCCCCTACCGCCCTTGGGTGATTTGTGGGACTCTCCTGTCTCTTTCTTGCCGGGCTGGAGACTTCCGTGCAAGCAGGCAGACCTGATCATGAGCCATGCACGGGGCATCGCCCCCAAGCCCCAGCCGCCTTCACCTTGGCCCATCTGCAGGCACCAAGTGCACTGGCCAAACCGCTGATCTCTTTTTAAAAAATTATTATTGTTATTTTTAAGGGCTTCTCATGTTTTGCCTGGAAGGTGTGTGTGTGTGGGGGGG